TCAGCGGTCCATACATACGTGAGCGATTTGCTCCAAAACTGAAACGTAAAGCGTGAAACGGTTCACCGTCTGAGAGACAGAAAAGAGTTCGAAGATGTTCAGTTATGGGCTTTGGTTTTATTCAGTTTTATTCGGTTTTATTCGGTTTTATTCGGTTTTATTCGGTTTTATTCTTTATTCGGTTCTATTCGGTTTTATTCGGTTTTATTCTTTATTCGGTTCTATTCGGTTTTATTCGGTTTCATTCGGTTTTATTTGGTTTTATTCGTTTTTTTTCGGTTTTATTCTTTATTCGGTTCTATTTGGTTTTATTCGGTTTTATTTGGTTTTATTTGGTTTTATTCGGTTTTATTCTTTATTCGGTTCTATTCGTTATTCGGTTCTATTCTGTTTTATTCTGTTTTATTTGGTTTTATTTGTTTTTTCCGGTTTTACTCGGTTTTATGCAGTTTTATTCTTTATTCGGTTCTATTCTGTTTTATTCTGTTTTATTTGGTTTTATTTGTTTTTTTTCGGTTTATTCGGTTTTTATCCGGTTTTATTCTGTTTTATTTGTCGGCTTTATCGGTTTTATCCAGTTTTATTCTGTTTTATTCTGTTTTATCCGGTTTTATTCGGTTTTATTAGTTTTTTATTCTGTTTTATTTGTCGGTTTTATTCTGTTTTATTCTGTTTTATCCGGTTTTATCCGGTTCTATCTGGCTGTATCTGGTTCTATTCGGTTTTATCTGGTTCTATCCGGTTTTATCCGGTTTTATCCGGTTCTATTCGGTTTTATCTGGTTTTATCTGGTTCTATCTGGTTCTATCCGGTTCTATTCTGGTTCTATCCGGTTCTATCTGGCTCTATATTGTGGATCCGGTGCTGACTCGTGTGCGTGGGGAATCGTGAGGCTGAGACGCGGCGGCGTGAGAAACAATTTCCCTTAATTGCAGATTCCAGAGCCGTCCTGCAAAATGGCCGCCGAGCGTCTGGGATCTGTGATGGCCGACGGAGGCGTGTGCACGTATAGCCGCGCACGCCTGTGTGTGTGTGTGTGTGTGTGTGTGTGTGTGTGTGTGTG